GTAGGGTCTACTACTCATGTGTGGGGGCGGTGGCGGGGTACGCTGCATGCGGTGTAGGGTCTACTACTCATGTGTGGCGGCAGCGGGGAACGCTGCATGCGGCGTAGGGTCTACTACTCATGTGTGGCGGCGGCGTGGTACGCTGCATGCGGTGTAGGGTCTACTACTCATGTGTGGCGGTGGCGGGGTACGCTGCATGCGGTGTAGGTTCTACTACTCATGTGTGGCGACAGTGGCGTAGGGTCTACTACTCATGTGTGGCGGCGGTGGCGGGGTACGCTGCATGCGGTGTAGGGTCTACTACTCATGTGTGGGGGCGGTGGCGGAGTACGCTGCATGCGGTGTAGGGTCTACTACTCACGCGCAGCGGCCGGCAGCAGCTGCTGGATGAGAGACAGGTAGATGTGAATCACGTTGCTCCCCATGCCCTCGTCGTGGCGACCGCCGGCGCCCTCTGCCTCCTCGCTCAGCACTCGCCGCACGTACGTCGTCAGCGCGGGCGACTGTCCCTGCATGCTGCTCACCGACTCCATGTCCGACAGCACGCCGGCGTTGTAGGCGAGACACATGCGCAGGTAGAGCACGATCTACACACAAGAGGGAGAGAGAGAGAGACACGCCGCTTCAGCCGACGTAACATGCCTAATCCTACCAACGTAAACATCGACACCATCTCTGTCGTCATGGGAACGCAGTCACTCATCGTTAAACATTGGAATGCAACGATCTTCATTGTCACCGTCGTCATGGCAATGCAATCGCTCATCATTAAACATCCTATCGCAGCCAGTATCACCAGCTTTAAAAAACTAGTGCAAACTTGGCAATGAAATGGCTGCGAGTTGCGTCTACTAATAAGTTTCCGTGTTGACATACTAGGCGTATAATTACATAACAGAGGCTAGAGAGCTAACAGCAGCTTTGCCCATGATAAAAGATCAGAGAAACTTCTGAGATTAAAACAACTCCTGTACACGAACACAGACATAGATGAGGAAACGATACTCAAATGATGATGATTACTCACTTGACCGAAAGCACCGGGATTGAACGGCAGCGTGTGGTTTCCCATCACATACCTCGATGAACCATTCTGCCTGGATTCTGCCTGTAAGATAACGATTCAAAAAGACCTTATGCCCTTCCTTTGATCTCTACTACCATTATTAGGACTAGAACTAGATTACTGTTACCTGAACAGTTAAGATAAGCTATCTAACATAAAGCAGGTCTGTAAAACTAGCACAGCATAAATTCAGCGATGCGAATTTCATGATAAATAAACTTAAACCAGGTCTGTGACACTAGCACAGCATAAATTCAGCAATGTGAATTTCATGATAAATAAACTTAAGCCAGGTCTGTGACACTAGCACAGCATAAATTCAGCGACGCGAATGTGCGGACGAGCTAACGCAAGGTGAATGTGGGATGTCTGTATGTAAGCAGCCACGTACCCTAGTCTGTATGAAGGCGGCCATGTCAGCGAAGGCAGGAAACAGCGAATCGTCGTCGCAGGAAGCGGGTGACTGCTGCTTGGCTGTGATCGTTCCACTGCTGCTCCCCGGAGTAGAGTGCAGGATCTTCATTGCCTCCGTACGAACCTGCTCCTTACTAGCGAGTGCGCAAAACAATGGTCATCATGCTGCTACACAGTAGATCCTCGCATGTAGAGGAACAAGAGAGAGGGAGGGATGGAGAGAGAGAGAAGAGGGAGGGAGGGAGGGAGAGAGAGAGGGAGAGGGAGAGGGAGAGAGAGAGAGTTGCGGAGGTGGCAGGGTGATATATGTGTAGGGATAAATGTAAAGACTTTAAACGGTGTATTCCGAAACACTAAGTGTAATTTTTTTTTTTTATGTATTTTGTTCTCAGGGTTAGTAAATTTGACGTGCTACCACATACGGTGTTAAAGTCTTAACGGCAATAAGAACATGCTACATAATTAATTTTCTAGAACAGCCACTTTTAAAATGAGGACTGTCGGAGTTGGTAGCACGCGATGTGACTGCTCGTCTGATAACAACAGTAAACACGCTGTGTCCACTTACGAGTCCCCAGTAGCAAGTAGAAGCACATATCGTGAAGGTATGTGATTGTGAGGAAACACTACATTGGCAAAGTTGAGAGCCATCAGTCTTGCAAGGGGTTCGGCCTGAAAAAAACCAGCAAAATACTAAATACTCGATTCTCGGTTCCCAAACGTTATGTTTTTCTTGTCCAAAAATGGGCATTTGCTTGAGATTTCATAATGTTAACTGTTAACTGTGATAGTTGGTAATAATGATAATGTAATAGGTAATCATCTATATTTTGGATTTATCACCCATTAACATGAGCCCAAAAAAACAGATAATTCAGCAGTTTTTCTCACACTATCTTTCACACGTTTTTCGAGCACTATAGGACTGTAGGAAATGAGTAGTTTCTCACCCGTTCTATGTTCTGTAGGATCATCGCTTCTATGAGAAACACGTTGGGACCGGTCATTCCCTTGAAAGTTGGAGCGATGAGCGACAGGGCCTCCTGAAGAGCCAGCTTTGTCTCATTGTCCTCCTGCAATAACCACACAAGTAAACAAACAATTACAACCACATCCTTAAACAAACAATAAAAACAAACACAGGCAAATAAAGAATAACAACAACACAGGTAAACAAAGAATGACATCCATATTGTTAAACCTACAATAACAATATCACAGGTAAACATAAATGAACATAACACGACAACAGCAAACAATTACATGGTTCATACAGGAGGACTGAAAAAAGGACTTTTCAAGGACATTTTATCAGAAATTCAAGGACATTTTTATCGGACATTTTATCGGAATTCATACACAGAACAAAACATACCTGGATTAATTTAATAACCTCATTCTTAATCACTGTCACTTCTAAAACTTACCTGGATCACATTAATAACCCCTTCTAAACACTGTCACTTCTACAACATACCTTGATTTACTGAGTGATTTTTACTGACTTATTGTAATTTGTGATCATCATTTAACTGTCTATCGTGTCTATAGCTTTTTAAGCTCATTTAATGCAATTTTTATTGAGGTTTGCACATTATTGATGGTACAAAATGTCTTTTTATTACAGGCAAAGATTCTTTCTAAAAATTCAAGGACATTTTCATGAAATTCAAAGTCATTTTCGTGAAATTCAAGGACTTTTCAAGCACAAAACCAACATTTACTAAATTCAAGTACTTTTCAAAGACTCCCCTCAAATTCAAGGACTTTTCAAGGACTGTGCGAACCATGAATTAGGTGTGTAGTGACTGTGATGCTGCCCTCCTACAATTACACTGGTAAACAAATAATAACATTGACACAGGAGAGGTGGGGCAGGTGTAACAGCAGTGAGCAGGTACCTGTGTCATGACGCTATCGAGCGCGTACCTTAGGTATGCAGTCAAAGAACGTCTGCACCATGGCTATGTCACGCACAGCGAGCTGTGGAAGCTTGTTACACAGCTTGCCAACCGCAATGTACGCCATCCCTCGTAACTTGTTGTCCTGCAGAAGATGCATGTATACGTGCATTAATGCAAAACCGTAGCTTGTGATTAACATATGGGAATTAACTCCCATAGCCATCATAGTTACACATTTACAACTCAGGTTATTGACAAAATGTCACCTCTTGCCCACTCAGAGAGGGACTTGTATTTAACATTGTTACGTGAATGTTATACCAGCATAGCTGATTACACATTTCGGTATGAATTAATTAGTTTTAACTGTGCCACGGGCCGGATTTCGAAGAAAACTTGCTATGTAATTAATTCGTTAGTTACCGCACACAAAACTATTTACGATCACAATTGGCACGCAATAACTAACACACAAAATCGTGGCAAATGATAACTAACCTCCTTTGTTTCTGAAGCCAACTTGATCATACCAGAGAGCAGAACTAGGCCCACAGGGGCAAGCTTTGCCTCACTGCAACTACACACAAAACCACAAACATGATCCTAGAGTTGAAAACGAAGATAATGCAGTGTTCTCATTAGGAACCGGCCACCGGCCGAATTGACCGTCTACTCTGCTGTTTCGGCCGGTTACAATTGGCTCAAGTATATTATTTTTTTTAAGTTGGTTTTTGAGTAACGCTATTTACGTACTTGTCCAACTCTTATAATTACTAAATCGTCATAATTTGGAAACTTTTGATAAACTCTGAATGTACCAGGAGAAACCAAATTGGAAAAAAGGACCATACTGTAATCCAAATGTGTCTGTTTACTGCAGCTCAGAATACACCAGATTGCATCTCAGAGCATCTAGGTTTTAACAAAAAAATTTGGGGGGGTACCAACAAAACACCCCGCCCCCACACCGCCACGGCCTGTTGCAAAAGCATTTGGGCCTGTTACTATAAAAGATAATGAAAACCCTGTAAAGGCAGCTAGTTATCCAAAGTTCTTCATTATTAACAAAACTGGAAAGGGTTGCAATGTCCACAGAGATATCTGTTTAAAGATTTTTTGTGTTTACTTTGAGAATCTGCATCATGAATGAGTAAATTTAAAATTCAATATATATATATATATATATAATATATAAGTAACAACTAGATCTTCATTACAAACACTTCGCAATGACTCTATAATAGTTTGTTCATTACCTGATGCATAGATGATAGACAAACTGCACAGCCATGTTCTTTAGCTTCGCGTTAGTATTGGCTCCATACAGACAGTCAAATATCACCTGCAAACCAACACCATATAAACATTCATCTCTACAATGGTAATACCGGTTGAAAATACTTAAATACACATTAAATATTCGCTACATCTGCTCCAAACCCGAAAATGTGAATTCGACTAATCAGATCTTTTGGGCAATCGTGGCACTCATACCATGAATTTGCCCAGCCAAATGAGTTTTCACTGTAGATATTATTGCCTTATTTACTAGAGCATGAAGTGCATACAGCCTAACCCATGTAGCCTAGCACGTACCTGTATTGCATAGGGTAGTTGATTTGCAGCCTCCCTCGACTTGAGGAGGTATGGGAGAATCTTGAGCTTTATTCTCGTGTTAGCAGTAGCTCGTTTGTGCTCAGGCTTGACTGATACCCTCTAAATAGAATAATGATACACGTTATGTGTCACGTGTGTATGTAAGCTACCATGTGTAGTACCATATCAGCATAACAGCTACGCTATGCTAATATAAACAACAACAAATATTCTAGTACTGAGATGCGAAAATAATAAAAATATTGGATCAGCACACATTTTCAGATAAAATCGTATTTTAGGCTTTTTTTTCAAGGCACCAGTATTTCAATTGGTTTTTATTTAGTATTTATTTTGTTTCTAACAAGAATGGTTTTTTGCTATTCATCTTTTTGAACCTATTTTAGTATTTCTTGATAACAACTGAAAAATAAACAACGTACTTGTTCCTTTGTCAGCAGAGTTCCTCTAAATAGATTGTACAGCTTCACAATGATCTCAGTTTTATTCCAATCAATGACCCTGTAAATACAGACAACAGCTCTGTTACTGCACGCTAGACACTAATTTCTAAATATTTACATCTCAATTTACCTGGATTTAATGTATTATCTCATTGACATACAGCTCTAAATTTATTCATTTATTTAATTATTTAGTCATTTTTAACCAGGTTTAATCTGTCAGTGCTCAACGCTGCTCTTGTTAGAGGTCTTTACAAACTATCTGGAATTTACTGAACTGACTCATACAATGATATCACGTGGTTTCATCAATAATGTACAATAAATGTATGTATATCAGTTCAGCTGCACCAGAAAATCAGTGTAACTATTGTTGACTTACCCACTGATCTTTCTAAGTTCCATATCTGCAGCACCAGCAACACTACAAGAACAGATTTTCTCATTTAGACATTTTCTAGAATATAATTCTAAATTTCATAAAAATGCATCTGAGGTGATTTCTAGACAATATGATATCACTCCTTGGTACTTAGAGAGTAACTGATACTATTATATAGTCGAAAAGACAAGATGTAGTAACTACAATTTGTAATTTATAAATGGAAACTTTCAATGATCCAATTTGCATAGACGTAACGTGTGACGCAGATTTTAAGTAGATGTATTTAATTATCTGATTGACAGAGCTCATATAATGACCACCTGCTAATACACACACACCGCAACCCATACACACTCACCAGCCCTGACACCACCCACCCGCTCAGTTCACCCGATTGGAGCAAGGAACGACACTTCCACACACTATTAACCTGACATGATCACTCACCCATGCCTCGTGTCCGACGTTGCCACCACCAACTGACAAACGATATCTTCGGGCGAGAAAAACTCGGCCGCTAAAAACTTTACAATGCCAGTCTTCGCCTGTAATCATCGTAAACCCAATTACAATTAGCGTAAATTTCAAATGACAATGGTATCACATCCAAATTAATATCCCTATCAAGTCTGTTACAAGCTTAAGGTCATTACAATACAGGTTTAAACTAATTTAGCAAGGTAAACATTAAATCGAATAGGATCCACGGTCGAGTTCTCGCCGCAATTAACCACACCTTCTCTAGGGCTTCGGGTGAGAGCGGATTATCTCCCGTGACTCGCTTCAGTGCATACTCGCTCATCCCCGGCGGTGGTGAGGGGGCGCTATCGCCGCCCTGCGCGGCCGACGACCCCGGCCGCACCTGACTCGTCGTCCTGCGGAGAGATGCGACCATCCGAAATATGTACATTCATTCCTGGCTTCTTATACTGCTACATGGCTCCTCATACCTTTGCAACGTTTTTTAGTTTAATGTGACAGAGTTTGAATTTCACCACGGTGCCGACAGCTATATGTATTTGTACATATATATATTATTAATTCTTTGGCATGCATAGAGGGACTGATATATATATATATATTATATATAAATAATAATATACATATATAATATATATATATATATACATATATTGTATATTATAAATGTATAGTATTATTTATATGATATATATCAAGAGTGCATAATAGAGAAGAGTATGACACGGTTTTAACAGCGTTTTGCATAGTTTTCAACTGGTAAATAATCTATCAATATGTGAATAAATATATTCAAACTTTACCTTGTTTTCGTCTATGATTCTCCCTTAATCATATGACACCACCAATTTACCTGAAAATCGTATGTGTTCTTCAAAAAAGTTATTTGAATACGACACGGTTTCGTACAGTTTTCACGCATGAATGCATCTCTCCGACCGAACTTTCTTATGGGATTAGTGTTCTATTGTCTATGACGGAACTTTGGGGGTCGTATGGGATATTAGGCATCGAATTGTATTCAGCGTGCAGCGTTTCCAGCGTGCTAAAAATAAATGCGCCTCACGGCCAGCTAGCTAGCAGCTGATTCCCTTACGGCCCCCAGCGTACCGTCATAGACAATAGAACACTAGTCCCATAAGAAAGTTCGGTCGGAGAGATGCATTCATGCGTGAAAACTGTACGAAACCGTGTCGTATTCAAATAACTTTTTTGAAGAACACATACGATTTTCAGATAAATTGGTGGTGTCATATGATTTAGGGAGAATCATAGACGAAAACAAGGTAAAGTTTGAATATATTTATTCACATATTGATAGATTATTTACCAGTTGAAAACTATGCAAAACGCTGTTAAAACCGTGTCATACTCTTCTCTATTATGCACTCTTGATATATATATATATATCAGTCCCTCTATGCATGTCAAAGAAATAATAATAAAACCTAATTAACAAAACAAGTATGAATCATTCTCTTAAACAGCAAAAACATACTACAGCACAGCAAAGCTCATCCTATATTAACCACCTACTCTCTTACAACGCTTTTACTTCTTCAATGTATTATAGTTTAATACGACCGGGCTCAAATTTCGCTCGCAGCAGCGCCAACCATCCCTACATCGGCGTCTCTGCACCGTCGTTTCGTACCCGTAAGGAAGCAGCAGTACGTCCATCATGAAGTCCAGAAGCAGCTTGGCAGTCTGAGGTTTCTCGGCAAAACAGAACGCGGACTTGCGGCGGCTTGGGTCGGCCGGGACGTTAATGCTGCCTAGCACCGGCATCAGCATGAACATGAGGCTGCCGAGAAGATAAACGCACGCGATTAATGACTTTCGTCATGCCTGAAGACCGTCATGGTGTTACTGTAGTAAATTTTACACGTTGTCGTTGGTGTGGATAGCATCGTAAATTGTGTGAATCTTACTGTAAGCTTTGTTGATATTATAGGGTAATTAAAGATGTTTTATAGATGTGGTGTAGATGATATCATAAAGGCGATGTTGGTGTTAATGTGTATGCATTATAAATGTAGAAACACTGGTAGGGAACACTTGTATAACGTTTATATTTTGATGCTAAATTTCTACATCACAAGCAAATCATAGTCATTATTAAGGCAGGCAAAGTGATTATGTATACGTGGAATGAATTAATATGACACTACACTTATCACTTACTAGTAACTTTGATCTACAATAATAATTTCCCGTAGAAACACAGTTGACTTCCACATTTGCTGCTGGAAACTGTTATTAAATGTATGGTATAAGACAAACCTATCTTGATGCAGTTGTGGTTTACCATCCAAACAGTTGATAAGCGATGAGGCTAGCTCTGCTTGTTTCTCTATTCCCATGCGTGGGTAACCCAACTTAAGGTATATAATAGTGAAATTCTGCAATGAAAATGTGATCAGGCCAACATTAGCTATGTCTCTGCAGTAAATCTACAGTTGTGCAGGTGTTATCAGGAAGATATTTCATCGATTGATACGTTGCCATGAATGCATCAATCAATGACAATGTGATCTGACAATCCTGCATTTTGATTAGGTGAGCTAGAATGCAAGATCTTTTATTCTGCGTAGTTACCCCACACTAGGTTTTTGCACTTCCATTTCGTACACAGTACGTGAAAAATAACGACGATGTAGTCACGACACTAACGACGACGGCTTACCGTGACAAAGGGCGACGCAGCAGGGTCTTGATACTGTAACAGGAGTGCCTCCACAGGTAACTGTACCTTCGGTCGACTCTTCACACGTTTGTTGATGTGAACTAGCAATTCCATCACCTATAACAAATATGTGACTATAAGTAGCTATTGTCTCTGTTAAAAAATGGTAACATGAGCACATGTTACTTTAATTACCTATAAAAAAAAATAAAAAGTGTATATGAATGGCATTACCTATAACAAGTGTTGGAATAAAATGACCTATAATATATGCAACTGAGAAAAGACGTATGGCAGTGGTAGATCTAGTGGTGGGTGTGAGGGGTTGACACCCACCATTGTTCTCATTCTCATGGATCGGTGTTATTCGATTTAGCATTTATCATATGATTTTATGGACCGAGTCTCGCAGTTTATTGTAACAGATCTCCTGATAGTAATTATTAATGCCAATCAACAGTTGAGAGTGATTATGTCATGGCTTCTTAAACTAATACATAAACATAGATATTGATGCTTTTTAGTGTTGTGCATAAAAAAACTGGTCTAAATATCGTATCTTTTAAATGGTATATATATAGATATTTCCTAACTCTTTTGAGAACACAGTTGAGTTGGCACACCCAGTCCGGTTAAGTCTATCTTCACTCATTGATTAAAGTAACATGTTCACCAAAGTGCCCTTGGAAAATCCAACTAGCTACTGCTCTCATGATCTTAGTGACTAGAGTCACTGTTCCCCTTAAACATATCAATAAAATGTTACATAAACACTGATAATTCTGTTCAATGAACTAGTGGGTGTACTACTAGTACTAGTACTAGTAGGTCTAGTACAAAGTTATGCCAGGAAAGTTCAACCTGAGTAAAACTCTTGTAAAAGATCTATTTCCAAGCTAAATCAATACAGTTACGTTTAGAAGTGATTTAGAGGATTTAGTGACCGGAGTACACGTACCTTCTTCCTTACACCATCCTGTTGACTGCCCAGTTTCAACAGCACGGGTGGTAAAAATTTGCAGATCACATTCTGCAGCTGCTCATCTGTCTCTGCCGATCCTACTCTGAGGAAAACTCTCTCCAACAATACTGAAAAGTGTACAGCTCTAGATTGACTTGGCTTTAACATGTCTATTTCATACTCTCGACCGCTGTGATGTGTAAGATGCAAGCGGACCCACCAGGGTTGGACACGCAGACCGGTTATGCAAGTCACCTATATCATGTGATGGTAGTGAATCAATGAATTTTGACAAAAAATAAACACGGATCATCGTACACTATAGTTGATAATATAGATCAAGTCACGTATGCTATAAAAATATAAAAAGTGTACAATTCCATTTTACGAAAAAACAGATATAGTGTATAGTTTGAAACAAATAATAAACTTACTTAGTTCGTCCTGCGCAGCCATGTTGACATTCCCATAATACACCGCGGGCAGAAATGCTCTGTTTGACCTTTTCAGCTTTTCTAGAATTGCATATTTTGCGATACCTAAAAATTCTATTGTACGCGCTTACTGTTGATAAGGCTTATATTCAGTGTAAAGGACACCGACAAGTATGAGAACATAACATAACATAACAGACGTATATATATAAACGGGGGGGAGGGGGGAAGACTCCAAATAGGATATGTAACGTGAAAAGGTAATCGAACCCCGATCTCGTTCATCGTCACTATCGCTGCTTCATTACTTCAATATAGTAGGTGCATGTGTCACTGTATTCATGACATGCACGCCCTATATTATGTTATAACAGATAATTATAGTATTGCGTTAAATGAGTAGAATATACCCGTATATATATGTAATTAGATGTGTGCGCGTGTGTGTGTGTGTGTCAGTGCGTGCGCTAAGCGCGTAGCCAGGGGGGGGGGTCATGGAAGCCCTAGGACCCCCAATCAAAATAAAATCTATTGATTTTAAAGCACTATTTTTACATTTAACTCAAAAAATTTCGGACCACCAGACCGAGTTGTTATATACTCGCTTGAGAACCCCCCCCCCCCCCCAATCCAAATTCTTGTCTACGCCATTGGCGTGCGCGCACGTGTGTGCGTGCGCGGGTGTGTGCGTGGACACGTGTGTGCGCGGGCACTGATGTGTGTGCGTGCGTACGAGTGTGTGAGCGAGCCGTGCGTGCGCGCTCGTGGGTGAGTGAGTGAGCACGCGCGTATTTGAGTAAGGTGTGCGTGCGTAAACCCTATACCTTCAAGTTACTACTTTTAAGATTACTTTTTCCGCCGCTAGATGGGAGTGCAACGTCATTTGCCTTATTTGCCTTAGGGCCCTATATGTAAAGGGGTCCTTAAATAATTTGCCTTTTTGCCTCAGCAATCGAGTCGCCTAAGCATAGTCCAAGCCTGATTTGCACAACACCTAAAATTAAAATGTGAAGTGAATTATAAAAATGTTTTGTTGCTTATAAAAACCACAAAAACCTGAACAGCTATCCAGAGTAGTAGACATGGTAATATCGCAAACATAGCTAATGATGTCACTTGAAACGTTCCAGTGTGTGATATTAAACGACTGGCGCGTTTCTATTTAAACAAAATTTAATTATATATCATGGTCTTACTTCTAAATTCAATGTTATTTGATATTTCTTGAACGTATGTAAACTGTCTAGAGTGCGTTCCACCCATATTTTAATGGTCATGTAGGATATCTGAGGATATTGATGGTCATGTAGGAACATTCCCGTGGTCATGTAGGATATCTAGGTCTTCATATTAAAATACTCGTGTCAATTGTAAGAAAGATGAGAAAGTACACACAAAATGACCGACTTTTCTTTTCATTTAATTCAACAACAATTTACAATGACAATAAACATGATTGTGTAATCTCCATTCACCATCAGATAATAAAGCTTATAATATCAATTAATTTTACAGCAAAAGTAAATCAATAAACGAAAACGTTCACATCAGCTGAACGACAGTGAAACGAGTGAACCTTCAATATACACACGCGAGCACGTTCCACTTGTCATGCAAACTTATTGTTCACTGTCATTGTTTTGGCATCTAACTTAGAAGTTCCAAATATATCGGCCTTTTTTGCGCACGACTTCTTATCCGGAAGCTATTCAATTCAACACGATGTTCACCAAATACTGATTCCAACTCGTTGTGCGTAGCCACATGGACGCTGGTACCAGTCTATACGATCTCACAAATAGCTCTAGTCGAATGTTCGTGAACTATACTGTGTGTATAGACGACGTTCATTAAACGAACGTTCGGCGCTGATGCTGATTTCGTATCTTGCGAGTAAGAACGAGTAGGGTAATCACGGTGCACGAGACGGATACCGACTGGCTGACCGATAGCTACTATAAAGACTTCAAAAAGCAAAACTTTCCACGAAAACAAATTGATACGACGCGGTAACCTATAGGTTCGCATCTGTGGTAATAACAGCGAGAGGCCATCCATCCATTTGTCCGTCCGTCCACCCATCCATCCATCCGTCCGACTTTCAATCCATCCATCTAGTTCAAGCATGGATGCATGCATCTCATCCATGCATCAACGCTGTCTGTAGTTAGAGTGCCACGTTCCTTAACGCACGTAAGCACCGACTAAACGAGGCAACGGAACGATCACGTGACACCCGCTTTACAATAGTTCCACCTTCGTGAATTAATTTGTTAATTAATTTAATTAAACTTGATATCACATACACGCGTCGGGTGATGCATGTCGATTCTAGCTGCGCAGTTACACTTACTCCGATAGCGAGATTTCATTTATAGGAGGCAAAAAATCAAAAACCATCACACCTTATAATAATAATAACAATAATTAAATACCTATACTCGTCATACACATCGTATAATCTGCAGGGAATCGCAGAATCACTGTAATTATACATTTTTTACAATATAACATCTAGAAGTCCTTAGACGTAGTTGGTTATCAAAAATGCATTTATTACTTCCCCTATAAATTAACAGCTTTCCCTACAGATACCACTAGCATTTTGATAGCTGGTAATACTGTAACCATTTCAGGTGAGTTATGCTCATATTTCAGTCATTCCCTTTGTAATAAAGACTAACAATCGTCATACGCTGTCATATTCTTAAAAATTGGGGAATTTTTACCTGTTCATTACTGCGACTTGGCTTATAGACAACGGCATGAACTGCAGTTATAAAGTAACTCTAAGCAATGTACGTAGATGCAACGTAGTGCGCAATGGTCGCTACGCCGTTGTACCGGTAGAAACTATCAAACACACACCCGAATTTTACCGGTATGTTCTTAGGCCTTCAGTCAGTGGCAACCGGCACATATACAAGGCATAATTTGTAACTAGACTCCGTGGAAGAAAAGTGTTATAGAGTAACTTTCTAAAACTGCTTTTATTGGGGTTTGGAAGTTACTATGAAACCTATATCAGAAAAAAAACTTTCTCCAATGTGTAGAACAAATGGAAAAAAGAACAGATATACTAGAATAATATGGTAGATGATGCATTTACGCATATATATTTATATATATATATATATGCGTAATGGGTTACTAATGTTCTACGTAGTAACAGTAGCTATGTAACATGCTCTCTGGTACATTACAAGTTTCCCTGAAGTCAGCATCATAACTAGGAACACGAAATATAGATCAGATATCGTAATAGTGTCCCTGCATTAAGTCGAGATGTCGTCATTATTATGTCTATGTTACTGGGGTATATATACATAATTATATATACCGTTAAAATACAACCACGCATTTCATACACGGTAAGATATATTACCAGTGTCGAGAAGATATGTAGAGTATAACATGAAAAGGCGGCGGTTACTAGTGCCAGTTGATGTACGGGCTGAAACATATACCTAATCGATCTTGGTTTCCTATGTTACACTAACTGTATACGAGGCCATCATATCATCATGGTGGATAAGTCACGGAGCAGCAATATGTACAGAATCATCTTCACCCACGCTCTTGTGTGAACAAATACGTTACCAACTCGTTAACCATCGTAGATTGCACAAGAAATTTTTGTCATTTGCTGACTAGATTTAATGAATGCCACTGCCATATAAATTAAACACACTCTGAAAAGGTATACGGCGACAATAGCGCACGATTCAAAGTACAACTTTACAATTTCTGTTTGGCAATAAAAGATCACACATCCACGCTACGGCTTGCTTTATCTGCCTTCGCAAGCTACCGGTTCTATGTTATCTCGTCATGTATATGAACAGAACGTAACACGTAACAACGCCAAAACCCCACGTTACTTTATTATATAACAGTCCAGGCAAATCACTTGTATATACACGGTCATACTAAAAAACATCCATCTGAAAAGCCAACAAAAAGCTGCATATGACATGTTTTCACTCAGAAGCACTGCACGCACGTACGAGCTGCAGCTCTCATGAAGTCCCTTTCTTCATCCCTCTTCCATCTCACTCGTTCTTTCTCCCTTCTCTCTCTCTCTTTCTCTCTCCTCTCCCTGTCTCTGTGTCTCTATCTCTCTCTCTCTCTCTGTATTTCCCTGTCTTGCTCTCTCTTTCACTCACCTTCTCTCTCATCTCTCTCCCTCTCTATCTCTCTCATCTCTTTCTCTCTCTCTCTCCTCTCTCTCTCTCTCTCTCTCTCTCTCTCTCTCTCTCTCTCTCGCTTTCTCTCTCCCACTCTCTCTCTGTGTATGTTTCTATCTCTGTCTCTCTCAGTCTCGCTTTTTCCTTCTCTCTCTCTCTCTCTCTCTCTGTATGTCTGTCTCTCTCTCTCTCTCTCTCTCTCTCTCTCTCTCTCTCTCTCTCTCTCTCTCTGTATGTCTTGTCTACCTCATCTCTGTCTCTCTCCTCCTCTCTCTCATCTCTACTCTCTCAGTGCAGCATCAATTATCTGCGGTCGCAGTGCGCGATTCGATCTACGCAAAATGGTATTGTCGTTGGCGAGGGCATTGTTAGAACATAGTTCTCGCATTAAAGGAGCGCACGTCATTGTCCTCCCTCCTCCTGCTGTCTCTGCGACGCCGGGCGATGATCGGAGGGCGAGGGACACCTACTGTCTGACGTCAGCATCGTTGTTGCTATAGCAACGCGCGTACATGGCACGCGCGGCTGACACGTCGCACACAATCACACTGCCGCGCCGCCGACTCGTGCTGCCACCTGGTGTCACTGCGCCTGCCATTCGCATCTGTGCGTCCCAGTGGCGAAACAGATCACCGATTGTCTTGTCTCTGAATTGCGTTGAATTCCAAGCGAAAGCAGTGAGTGCGCATGCACGTGGAGAGCCTAGGATGGTGGTGGTGGTGGCTCACACACCCACCCACACACACGCATGTCAACATGTCAGTACTGTGAGCGTCCTCTGTCGCACATGGTGACAGCTAGTCTATAGTGAGTGTGAGAGCGAGAGTAGAGCAGGGAAGCGGGTAAAAAGAGGCCAACGTGCATTCCTCGAACATCCATCTATGGCGGCTCTCGCAGTATTTGAAGATGCAGTTCGTGCATGGGAGCGAGCGTAGCGTGACGCACGTACGATAAAGTGATGGCATGTGTAAGTCTGTGTGAAATGAATCCACACAAACAACAACACGTGCGAATGTGGAAATGGCTGTGTGCGGTGTGTGTGGATATGTGGTGTGTGTGTAGTGTAGAAACAAGACAATACAACACTGATGTGATTGAAAATAGTGTGTGTGTAGAGTGTGTGTGGCAGTGACAGGTGATGTGTGTGTGTGTAGTGAGCATGTGTGTGTGCGCATGGTGTGTGCGTGTGCTCGTGCGTGCGGTTGTATGCGCGCGTGTGTGGCTAGCCTATTATTGCTGACATCTTTCCTGCTCCGCTTCCTCCTCCTCCTCCTTCTCCTCCTCCTCCTCTTCTTCTTCTTCTTCTTCTTCTTCTTCTTCTTCTTCTTCTTCTTCTTCTTCATCACAGAGCATCACTAACTGCAACATTCAATAGAAGACACTTTTCACAAAAAGTTCCGCGAAGTACCACTATTGTCGTTACGTTGGCACACGATAAAAACACAGATTCTCGTTGCATTAATTTACGCGTACGACCGAAGTTTTTTTTAGCAGAAACAAATTATATTAAAACGTTAATGGAACCTGCCGACTCTACTTTTGCTAATCGCTTGCATGTCTCACAGCTTTATGTAAAAAAATCCTCAGTAATCTAACGATGTTCAACAGACAGTTTTATGTATAGAATCTTTAATAGCATTACAAATGTTAAACTGACAGGTTTATGTAAAGAAATATCAGCGATCTCACAAATGTTTAACAGAACAACTAACGAAAAAAGAACGTTCCTACGTGTGAAATGTTAGACTAGTAGTGATGCACGACACGTGACATGTGTAAGTTTTCGGCAGATGGGGGCAACATCAGCTGGCGGCCGGCATGCAATCGCACGTAATCAGCAATAATATACTCCTATATACCACCTACATATCCACAGCATCGCCAGCGACACCTTCACCGTCGCTTTAACCAGTTCAATATTATCAGTCTAATTGATCAGTAGATTTGATTGTAGTCGCTGTAAAGGTAGGTATATTGTTGCTGATTTTTCAAAATGTACAGTCCCCATGTTTGATATCAAAGGCCGTCACTACACTAATACACCACGTTTGGGATAATTGGTCTTGCCAAACAATTCTAAGACACTATAAAATAATGCACAGGCTCATACGTGCTGATAGAAATACCTTCTACGTTTAAACTTGAAAACGAATAGCGTTTTAAATTCGCTTCCGTCACATACGCCAGCCGAAATGCCTAGTAACGTCTTACAGTCGACAAGCCACGAAAACTAAATTTGCCCATAGGAATTGAAAACGGCGATGCGAGTGGCAGTGCTACAAATACCGTCACCGTAGAAGTCTGTAGCGAATCATCCAGCTACATATAATAAACGATACAGCCGACTGGAGACTGTGACTATATATCCGTGTTATAATACTCGTCCCGGGACATGGCAAAGCTCACGCTACGTTGTTGCGTGCACACTTAATAGTCAACTGTGTACAAATAAACGAAGTAAAAATAAACTTGAGTAGATGGGTAGATGGGTGGATGGAGGGAGGAGGTTATTTAGCTTCATTAAGGCCCGGGACGAGCATATAAGAAGGAATATAAAGGCGAGTCCGTTGCTATAATTTGCTACTCTGCTCACATGCCTGGCCGCTGAAACATCAACCAGAATAGATTGTACAATATAGAGAAAACAGTGTAATCTCAAAGATTAATGTAATCGCAATTTTTCACATCATTAATTCTTGAAAAAACATTGCGCGTACACGCACGCAACACGCAAACTGCCACTGTTTTAACGTGAAAAAATATACGATAATATAATATTAAATTCTATATTATAAGCCAAAGATATTCTAAGCGAGATAAACTCGATAATGAAATAGTAATCCTATATCTATTTGGCAAGACCCACTGGTATAACGCTAAGCAATACACGGTCGCAACAATAATGACATTTAGATCTATACTATTACCGTGGGGAAGCGCGCGATCGCACGCATAAGTGCAACACTCATTTAGAAACTCCTACTAATTGATCATTGCACTGATTAAGGTTTAGGTTTGTTATCAAAACATTTTAGGTGTAAGTAGATCATCACACACACACACACACGATTCTGTTAGTTAGCAAAATTAGTCATCATCATTATTAGTAAGTTTCCTACAGATTCATACACAGCTCATGTGATTTTATGCGATTAGAAGACTTACCCTGTTTCTGTCTGTATGCGTGTGCTGGCGTGCGCGCGTGCGTGCATGTGCGTGTGCGTGTGCGTGCGCTATACGAAATACAAGATCTATAACAATGCGAAATGCTGCACGTGTTTAGAGCAGACATGAATGCGTACCGCAGGTAGTAAACTTAATGCTGCATTGCTCGTGGAATTTGCTCTGGCTTTACGTGTCTTTTGCTGTCACGATTCGGTTATATATTAGTGCGTGGATTGCACAAGATAGCGTGCAGCTCATACAGTTTAATTTGGTTTTCCCGCTGGACTGGAGTTAAAGTCTCATTATTCACGTTTAGTCAGGAAGTAAATCTCACGATGGTTAAAACTGACAGCTGCTAATCTCGTCTACACGCGCACATTGTTAAGCTACTACCCACCCACTCCAGTATTTACACATATATCTATGTATATACATATGTGTGTGTGCGCGTGTGTGTGTGTGCGCGCGTGTGTGTGTGCGCGTGTTTGTGTGTGTGCGTGTGTGTGTGTGTGTGTGTTGTGTGTGTGTGTGTGTGTGTGTGTGTGTGTGTGTGTGTGTCTGTGTGTGTGTGTGTTGGTTATACTAGTGTGGAGATGGGTGGTCGTAGTAGCTTAACAATGTGCGCGTGTAGAAGATATATATATATATATATATGTGTGTGTGTTTGTTTGTCTGCTTGTTTGTTTGTTTGTTTGTTTGTTTGTTTATCAACATTACAAGCGGGTTCTTGAATGTGATATGACTGACCGGTTGTTTTATGATGACGATGTTGCTAGTGGTGGCATTAGTTTATGTGTCGCTATGGTGATGCTAACGTTATATCGTTAGCTTTGCAATGAGGCGCTCTATGGTTCACGATCTATACAGCGAGTGATCTCTCCCTCTCCCTGTACCTGTGTCTTGCCTCTAGCACGTGCGCTTGCGGCGCCACCCACCGCTTTTGTGAATGTTATCGCGGAGTGAATCGCGCCGTAAAGTAGGATTCAGGGAGAGATGCACTGATGAGTGTTGGTGCAACACGATGAAAGAGAAGATGCAGGAGGTAAGAGAGGAGGCAAACCAGCAACGATGTGATGATATTAGCACAGGGCAACTTATAGCATCTGTGCACTGAAGACAGCAACAGCTGCAGCAGCAACAACAACATCATCATCATCATCAGCAGCAGCAGCAGCAGCAGCATCATCATCAGTAGCATCATCATCAAGCAGTGACAGCTCTACCATGCTTTCTCGGAGCTTGCATGCACTGGGAGAATAGTTGGAGGTAGGTAGTAGGGTTGGGGGTGGGGATGGCATACCACAACGCTCAGTACAGGCCCCATGCGATTCTGACGTTTAATTATAATCAACCACATCTAAGACTTCCAGTGCCGCGTGCAAGCAAGCGCCTTACCGCGCGTCTCTCTCACAGTCGGCCGGCGTCAGGCTGGCGTGTTGCCCGCGTGAGCCACGCACGTGTACACGCGGCCCGCGCCACAATCACGACTTTGGCTTATAGAAACTGAAGCTTAGTTTTTGCTGTATGTCGGAGCCGCACCATTTCCATGGTCGCAGTTTGGCACCCCAACCGCGTGGGCCTGATTTGGAGCCGCCGGCACTGGCGCGTGCGCACTCCCCATCGTATCTGGCATGGTCAGAAAACCAAGGAGTCAATACTGGACCCACACATCACCACGTCCCCACATCAGCACAGGGCGTTAACAGCAGGCGTCTCTCTCTCACACACACACACACACACACACACACACACACACACACACACACACACACACACACACACACACACGTGCAACGTCGAAGTCCCACATACGCAGAGGCACACCCCCACACAGCTGGGAACACTGCTGCCACCTGGCGACGGTTTGACAATGAGGAATTCGTCTCGATCGGAAATGCATCTAATAGCTGTAGGAGTGAAACAGTTGCACTGTCGCTCTGCATGGTTTCTCTCTGTGTGTTTTCATGTGATCTCGTGGAATATAGATTGAAATAGGAACTGACGTCACAAGTCTCAATGGAAAATAACACGAAATATTTTAAAGGCTGATCGAAGCTCAAACAAATTCCTAGGGGAAGAGAGAAATTTCCTGAAGCGTGATTCCGAGGGGCTGTTTTTTTAATTTTAAGAAATACATCGCATGTAGGATGTTGGATTAGGCTGATAATGAATTAAGGGAATACTCCTGCTTATTTATTTATTTAATTTATTTTTAGGATTATATTTACATTTATTAGAGGGTATAATATCCCGTTTTTGCCTCGGTCGACAAATGATGTATGCATGTATTCATGCGTGGTTACATTGTAAACAGGATCACCCCAACGATAGGGATACATGTTTTTCACAGCACGCCGGCGTCGTGGTGGAATATATGTATGACGTCCCTTAAATCCTGGTTCAATATACTGTCACGTCAGTTAAGCCAGAGTCCGGATCAAGCTCTCACATTTAAATATACTGAAAGGAACGAAAATCGGTAGGAATATGTAGATTTTCTGTCACAATAAGCTAATGATTCTGTATCCATGACAACCAGACCTACGCTCGGACGGAACATCACGTCAAGATACAAATACTCTAAAGTTGAGTTGAAAACATCATGAGATCTGCTTTGGCCATCATTTACTATTAAGTGCAATTGTTGCTGCCATAGCAACACTATGCATGGTAAGCATTTGTTCTACGTGATAGAATATTAGAAATTTATCTGCTACGTAAACCTGTGATTCGAACGCTCACTAATCCACTCAGACTTTGATGGCAATGATCAAATGCTGATTACTGAAATAATCCTGACACATACGCAGCCTGTTCTGCTAGCATCTACGACAAATACGACATACGCATATACGCTCTCCTATGACACTATTTGTCATAGGAAGATTCTTCCTATGACAAATACGACATACGCATATACGCTCTCCTATGACACTATTTGTCATAGGAAGATTCTTCCTATGACAAATATTGTTGTATGTGTTGTGCGCGTCATATGAGTTTAGGAGCGCTATTATTAACACAAGCAGTAAATTTCAGCTGTAAAGCGGAACGAAGTTGACTCGCCAATATTTGTCATAAGAAGAATCTTCCTATGACAAATAGTGTCATAGGAGAGCGTATATGCGTATGTCGTATTTGTCATAGGAAGATTCTTCCTATGACAAATAGTGTCATAGGAGAGCGTATATGCGTATGTCGTATTTGTCATAGATGCAAGCAGACCATGTTGACATACGTGGTATATATGTGGAGGAAGATACGGCGGTAGAGTGAAACAATGCAGGAAGACGTGTCAGGTGAATAGAGAGTGACAATAGTGTTGGACTATTATGTTTTACTGCTTAAGGTGCCCACCAATCACCGAAGCATCTGCAAAACATACTTTTACCACTAATACAGAGACACGAAGCAAACAAGGCAGAGCAGAAAGAACTGAAAAGAAAGAAGTATCTCTTTAACACATCTCATATACAGCAGGTTCATACATACTAGCAGAGTTTAAACTGAAAAGTCACCGGCAAGCAGATCGAAGGGTGCAGAAGAAAGAATACAGGGCAGTATATAACTTTCGATGGTGCGACGGCGTATGTATACACATGATACACATGTATTATACGTATACGTTAAGACACATACGACGAAACTCTACCGTAACAGTGTTTTTATTCACGCCCGCATGCCCGACCCAATTCAACCATACACACACACACACACACACACACATTCACACATCGCACAGGTCAGCAACCATCGCTGCCGCGTGCGTGCGTGCGTGCGTGTGCACCTACCTGTTCTTGTCGTCGGCAGACGCGTTGTCTGCGTCGTCCAGCGTCATGTCGAACTGGAACTTTCCGTCGGCCTGCCTCGTGTCGCTCACGTCGTCGTTGTTGTTCGTCTCGGCGTCGTCGCAGCCATCCTGAGACGACGGACTCAGCGGGATCTGACTCTGATACCAGTCTGTAAGAGATGCACGGGCGTGCGCACGACACAGGAAGCTTATTAATTAAGGTGACACCAACCAGTCTCTCGTCAGTACATTCTCCATTAGTGACACGTCTATGGCTCAATATATGTGCATAGTGAGGCTATCTGCCAGTGATAGAAAAAATCTCATTGGTTCACCTTCATAGAATGTAGGATGAAGTGTTATGATCGTACAGCGTGTGAAGCGATGACGTAGTGTAGGTTATCATCAACGTTAGTATCAGTGATTCGTTCTCGGAAACATGATTAGTCTTCACATTAGTCTTAACGTTAACTTTGTCCTGGTCTTTGTCTTAGACCGCCAATAGCAACGTCACAAAGTTCACAGGCACTTGGAGCGTTTCAATAAAATAGAATGCTAAATAAACACGAAATCTATTTACTACCAAAGTCTTAATGTTTCTCTACTCTCCTTCACCTAGTATTATTGCCGACAAGCCGTGCTGCAAATGCTCTAACGACAGCAAACACACGCCCACCGAATGCACGCTGCTACGCTGCTGCGCTGCTGCACGCTATGCACACTTCACATAAATATAGAGATTTTTATTCTAGATTGGAAAATCAACGTTAATACTAATGTTGAGACTAATCGTGTTTCTGACAACAGGGTCCCTGATACTAAAGCCGCCTGCCCTACATTATCGCTTCACGTGCTGTACGATCAAAACACTTCATCATATTAAGGTGAGTGAAAGCGATCATAATATATTCTATGACTGGCGGATAGCCTTACTACGCACATATATTGAGCTCAAGGGATTAAACGATTGCCGTCGTGACATCTGACGATGCATTATAATCAAGCACACTAATAATTCATGACAGCATAAGTTAACAGCTTCTAGTAACTGATAGGAAAGACCTACAGCATGGGATTAATGTGCCACATGTTAAAGATACCGTGCGACCGCGCAACAAAACAGTTATTCAGTTATTTGGTATTCATCTCTTTACTTCCGCGGTATAATAAACATTAAACAAGCTGCTTACCCCTATTCTCCTCTAGCTGATCGAGCATTTCTTGTGCATCAGGATAAACTAGATCCGCCCATGTTTCCCATAATGGATGAACGATGTAATCTATGAAGCCAACCTGAAAATCAACAAAGCACATTACACACACAGCCCTGCACCGTACAGATACACACGCACGCAGCGACACAAGTCAACTGTAAACAAAACTAGGCTATTATCTCAACCATGCACGTGCATGTTTCACCTCCGGACTTCATGGCATCTCAGTAACAAAACAAAAACAACAACGTAATGTTTCATCTATGCACACGAATTCATGATTAATGGACACTATAAATGGTACCATACCAATACATCAAAATAGAATGTACAAAACACAGAAATAGCATAGAAATTACAAGCAACGAACTAATAAAATGAAATGATGTCTCTCGTGCAGCGGTCACACAGTCTGTGAACCACTCAGTGAAACTAAGTCTCAGTCTTAATCTAGACTAGACTAAGTCTCAGTCAAACTGAGTCACTTGTGAAACCACTCACACCAACGCTTCGCTGCGGCAGTGACTAACCTGCGATTTTTCAATGGTGGCGTTCTGACGGTCGCACATCGGAGAGACGTCGAGTCCTTGCGCCTTCTCCTTGTCTCCCTGCTGGAAGAACTCCTCTGTGATGCGCGCGTTGAACGATCGGTAGATCTCCAGCGGCTTGGTAGGATTGCTCAAGTCAGAACAATGCACCATGTTTTGTAGCACCTGCGAGAAGAAATGCCATGTGGGCGTTGGCACTAGCAAGTAGCAAGTACTTCAGGGTTTAAGCTAGACGAAAAAACTGTTAGCAATTTGGCTAATTTGGTGTGAAAATGTTTAGCCAAATCCTATACTAACTATGTAATGTAGGCGTGTGTATTGCGAAGGCCACTTTAATAATCTTCGGTCTTTTCCAGAAAAGTGTTGGTACCGAGTAAGCAATGAACACACGCAGTGTACCTCATGCTTCGAGTTAGCATGTAGCGATCTCGTGTAGAATTCGAGCGGCCTGCTAATTAGCTTGTAGCGGTCGCTATAGTTGGTAGAATAGTTGGTGGAGTTCAGCCTTAAGGGCCTAATTAGCTTTAGATTTTTGGCGAATTTACAATGAAATTTATTCGCCACATTTAAATATAATTCCCATCTGGCGAATAAGCGAACGACAGCCCCAACCAACTCCCCAACCCTGACCGACGATGTACGATGAAGCTATGCGAATTACTGCTCAACCGATGTGCCAGCACCACAGCCCCGCAGTGAAGCTTTAACGACCGCGCGCGAGAATAAATCACGTGGGAGATGCGCGTCTGCTAAAGCGGGGTGGGTGGGGGGGGGGAGGGGTTGGCTGGTGTTATTGTATGTGTGGGAGGGGGGAGGGTGACTGAGTGTGTGTGCTGGGGAGGGTCACTAAAGTTGTGTTTGGGAAAGGTGACTGAGTGTGTGTGTGCGGAGGAGGGGGACTGAGGGTGTGTGTGTGGGTGTGGGGGGAAGGGGGGTGACTGAGCGTGTGTATGGGAAGGGTGACTGAGTGTGTGTGTGAGGGGGGAGGGTAACTGTGAGTGTGTTTGAGAAGGGTGACTGAGAGTGTGTTTAGGAAGTGTGACTGAGGGTGTGTTTGGGGGAGGGTGACTGAAAGTGTGTGTGTGTGTGTGTGTGTGTGTGTGTGTGTGTGTGTGTGTGTGTGTGTGTGTGGGAAGGTAACTGAGAGTGTGATTGGGAAGGGTTATTAAGAGTGTGTTTGGGAAGGGTGACTGAGTGTGTGTGTGTGGAGGGGGGAGGGTAACTGAAAGGGTGTTTGGGAAGGAGAGTGGAAAGAAGTTGGCTGAACGACTGAGTGTATGTGTGGGTGGGTGCCAGTGTGCAGGCGTGGAAAGGTACAGAAGGCGATGGTACTGCCTAACACTGACCTCAATATTCGCCAAAATGTAATCGGATCAAGAGCTAATAACACCTCTATAGGTATTCTCTAATAGAATCTAACATACTCTATTTATTAGCTATTTATCAGCTTATTTCCTAAGCTATAAATCGATATATAATATAAGCCATCAACCAGTATTAGTAAAAGTATTATAGATGGTACTATAAGGCGTTGATATAAGCTGTTGATGGGATCTGTGTGAGCCTACCTGTATTCTGTCAGTGTAGTTGTCTAGAAGCAGCACTCCTGAGCCTGCGACCTTCTTAGTTTCTACCATCGTCTTCAAGTCGGCCAGTAGACTCATGTGTTTCGACATATCCGTAGCGAGTACCTGGGGAAAGGAATTACCAACATGTAGGATTAGTAGTAGAAATTACCAATATAACACACACATGTATATATATATATATATATATATATATATATATATATATATATATATATATCCGTGCTGTACGTATGTATGTAAATGTCTGGCCATCAACAATGCAATGCAGTAAGTAGAAGGATCAACGAACCAGTAAGCCTACCTAGTTAAATTTCACATAACATCACAATGCATCAACCATAATCAACTGTAAATGCTATTTTCCTCTTTTCAGTGATGAAGGAAAATAATTTAAAAACCAATTGCAATATATTCAAATTAGAATGAGTGGCTGGATAATTCCATGGGGACATGGTGACAGGATGAACATGTTTGCATTGCTGCATCACGTGTGTGAGTCAGCATATGATGACTGGTAACAAAAGCCAGGTATCTATGCAAGCTTCACTTTGCTTAACGAGGCAATAAAAATTTGCATATAGCCGACACAGCATACTTGTTCTAACACACAGTGAAATTCCGCAAGATTCCAGTTTAATTATCTTCACTGTTTAATATGGATGCACTGATTCAGAACTATACGTAGCCTAGGAAAATTCCTAGCAGGGCAAACGTTTGTGAATAACCCTAGTAATGACGAAGGAACAAGTCGAATCTCAAGCAATTAACTTCATATGGCAGAAGGCCAAATGAATAATCTTGTTAGAGTACTTACAGAATTATTTTAGGTTAACCTATGTTTATTAGTATATATAACAGGCCAAAAACAGGATTAATTGTTACTCAACCGTGAAGATTGGAAACAAACCGCTTACTTTTCGCCTCCTGCCAGAAGGCTTTCTCAAAGCTAACTGATGATGATCAGTTTTGACCATTAGATGGTGTGGGGGTCAATAGCTTAGTCCACACGTTACTATAAGCCTGTATCCCCCCTCGTCCCGGTTGATGTTCAGGGTCTTGCGGATCCAGATGGCCTCCTTAATCCAACGCCTGATTTTGATTGGCTCGCGATCGATGATCTTCGAATTCTCCCAATCGATGGTGTGATTGTCCTTCGCTACGTGGTCAGTGATCACGGATTTGGTGATTTCGGTAGCTGACCGTTTTCGTTGGGCCGTTGTGAACGATTTGGGTGCTACGGTGTCTACGTCCTTTTTGTGTTCTTTAAGGCGGGTTTCAAATTTTCGGCCGGTTTCTCCAATGTAACTTTTTTCACACATTGCACACGGTATTATGCACAGTCCGGCGTAATGTTGTGCATATCTGTTCTGTCCTTAGGGTGTAACAAAAGCCGTTTTAGGGTCTAAAACGATCTAACTGTTGAAGCCACACCTGCATTTTTTAGGTGACGTTGAACTACGTCCGTGACGCCTCTGACATAAGGTAGGACAATCATCGCCTTCGGTTTCTCTGTGGAGGTTTTCTTATGGGATGTTGTTTTTTCCCGTGATGTGTTCATCTCCTTGGACACTTTTTCGAGTGTCCAATTGGGGTAGCCGCATTTTTCTATTGCGTTCTTGATGTGGCGCGCTTTAGCTTCCCGGTCCTCACTCTCCGTTATGATCTTGTCCCTACGATCAAGTAGCGTCCGTACCACTGACAGTTTGTGGTTGACTGTGATTGACTGTCCATCTAGATCCGAAAGACCCCGAACATCAACCGGGACGAGGGGGGATACAGGCTTAGTCACGTGTGGACTAAGCTATTGACCACCACACCATCTGGTGGTCAAAACTGATAATCATCAGTTAGCTTTGAGAAAGCCTCCTGGCAGGAGGCGAAACGTAAGCGGTACGTTTCCAATCTTCACGGTTGAGTAACAATTAACCCTGTTATATATATTAGTCTACCAACCGAATGAACTTCCGAATTTAACTACCAACCGAATTTAATGAGTTATGTTTATTAGGTTTATGAGTTTATTTGGTTTCACGGTCAAGAAGGGGGGCACCTGCTCTTTCTCTTGTTCAGTCTGCAGCGTCTCTCCCCACATGCCACACACACGTCTGCTTTGCACAGTAGCCCCATCTCCCATCTCACGTCGTACACGACTTTAAAAAATCTATAGCCAATTTCCGTCTGCAGGTTTTTCTTTCTAAATTTAATACGCGGGAAGAAGGTCGGCGGTGGCAGGGGAGCAGGCGCATGCGCGGGAGTGGGGATGCGTATATCTCTCACCATGTCAATAGTCATCTTCCTGACTGTGTGACGCTGCTTGGCAGTGAAGTTCTCAAAGATGTTGCAGTCTTTCTGCTGGAGCAGCTTGAAAGCGACGGCTAGATGGTGGTTCTCCAGCACCGACTCATCGTTGTACATCACCGCCAGCTCCGAGCCTGCAGCAGCAACAGCAACACATACAACAACAACAACACACGTGTACATACAAGCACAGCAACAACGCACGCATGAACAACACACGTGTACATACAAGCACAGCAACAACGCACGCATGAACAACACACGTGTACGTACAAGCGCAGGCAACAACGCACGCATGAACAACACACGTGTACATACAAGCACAGCAACAACGGTGTTGTTCATGCGTGAACGTGTACATACAAGCACAGCAACAACGCACGCATGAACAACACACGTGTACGTACAAGCACAGCAACAACGCACGCATGAACAACACACGTGTACGTAC